AACACGTTACAGTGTGTGATCTTTAAGTGGTGCTATACGTACTGTATACTTTCACCTTATGCAGACTGCAGGAAAAGTTTATTATTTGCTCATTTGCTTTCTTGCAGAGTCAGATGAGAAGATTGGTATCACTCTAATGTCTGCATAGTAAATATGAAGCTACCATCGGTTTTAGAGGGGGATATTTTATGTGCTGGACTATTTCTTTGATGGGTGCAGTCACTTCCTGGAGTCTTACTCTTTGAGCTTTAGAGGCAGAGGGGGGATTTTGTCACCTCTGACAGAGGCAGATGGTAGCTTTATGCTGTAACTATGCTACAAACATGAGATCTTCTCATCTAACTCTCGACAAAGGAGCAAATAAGCATTTGTCCCGAACTATTCCTTTAAATAAATGACTATCCCCAGTATGAGGACCTGTTTTTGACTGTCTGTATGCGAAGCTGAAATATGCCTGTTGACTTACAAATAGAGCCGTGTCTCCCCACAGGCCAACAGGATGTGTACGATAAAACCGGCAACAACAACACAGTAGAGGTGAGTGCCAAAGCTACTCATGTCTCCCTCAGGTAAGTATCTGCGTCTTCAGCTCTGTGGGTGTGGTTTTGTATGTGAGCGTGTGTGCGGTTAGACCGGGACTGTGCCTCATCCTGAAAAGAAAGTCTGCTTTATGCTTTGCTTTAAAAGAGCTCCGCCTGAGGCACATCCCCACTATGCAGCCAAGGATACAAAGGCCGCTGAGAGGAGTCTGCTGTATTGGCGCTACAAACAGTCTCTTTCTGTGCCTCATGAGTGGATCAGCAGACACTCTACTCGCTACACAACATCCCTTCTTTCATCAGCTGCTGTTTGCGAGCCTTACTGTATAAGCCTTTGCAAGCCACCATAAGCCTGGCTGGCTCCTAGAATACCATCTACAAAGCCAGATAAGCTTGATACCGTTAACAGTCTGTCGAGTGTGGGTGGGTGTGTGTTTGTAAAACCAGCCCTTCCTTTAACTAAGCATAGTCATAGAAGCTGTTGTCCCCTCTCCAGTTTTATCTCTGTTTTGTTCCTTTGCCCATTTCTCTCCTCTCTCCTGCCTCTCAGTCAGTCCCTTAGAGTTGTAAATTATTGTGTTAGGGAGACACCACGCCCTCGGTGTCACCTCTGTCCTCTCCTGACACTCCCTGTATCGTTTAGTTTCTCATTCTCCCACTCATTGACCATATTCGCACACACACATACACACACATAAAGTCCAAAACGTTCCTGCCATGATCTCTGACCTAAATCTCGTCTTACTCTGCAACCCTCCTCTCTTTCTGTGCTGGTGTGTGTTTGTGTGTGTGTGAAAATGTGATCATGTAAAAAAAAAAACATGATTGAGAGAAAAAGTGTGTATTTTGCTTGCGCTCGCTCTGCATACTACCTACCTGCATGCCTGCATGCCCATGTGCGTAACACACCAGAGGGCTGCGTAGAGGCTGCGTTCAGGCTGGTAACTCCTCATGCGTTCTCTGACTGTTCCTAAACTAGGTGTCAATTCACAACAGGCTGCAGACCTATCAACTGAGCCAGCCCAGCATTGAGTCCACGCCTCTGGCCCTGGCTGCGCCACCCGCCCTGCTCAGCCCTGTCCAGCCCGGAGAGCTCCGCCCAGAAACGCTCATCCAGTGCCAGCAGATTGTGAAGGTGATCGTTGTGGACCAGAGCGGGCGAGGGCGGATGGAGGCCTTCCTGAGCCAAGGCCCGGCCACCCATCAGCTCATCCAGTCAGCCATGTCCACACCTGTGCGCGTCAGAGAGGGGGACGGCCCTCAGCCCCCCCTGCCGCCTCCGCCTCCACCTTACAACCACCCCCACCAGTTCTGTCCCCCTGACTCACCCATGCCCCTCCACCACACCATGCCTCTCACACGCAGGCGCAATTCCAGTGGCTCCCGCAGCATTGTCTGAGTCCTGGGCTACTCTACGAACCCTGGAGGGAAGACATTACCCTCACATAACACACACACACACACACACACACACACACACACACACACACACACACACACACATACACACACATACACACACACACACACACACACACACACACACACACACACACACACACACACACACACACACACACACACACACACACACGCTGGAGCACTAGTTGACTCACTTTGAATGGTAAGATAAAAGCATTGCAAAAAAAGTAAGGAATATACTTTGAGTCACATGAAGGGATGAAGGAAAAGAAAACCTACAACAATCTTACCACAGTCTTGACTGAGCAGTGATGTTTCTGAACACAGAGTGGTTTCGATGCCATTTCTTTGTCTCCAACATGTCACCTGGTAGCTGATGATGTTGTCTGTGTAGATTTCACACTCTTTAAGAGATCTTGTGACTTTGCATTTTTAAATGTCACCTGTCCAACAAACTTGTCTGTGGGCTGTGACCCTGAAAACGAGGGACGATGTCAGAAGAGCGAACTCTCGCAGCCATGGAAGGACATGGGATCACTTTAAATATTAACGACAAAACCATGTCTTCTTTTATTTTCATTCAAGATATCGCTGTTAAGTTCACACCTCTTTGTTGGGTCCAGGTTGCCAGTATTAGATACCATCATACCCTCAGTGAATGATTTCATCACAGCTAATATAGCTTCTTCACACTGTAATAACTTTTTTTTCCTCATCTCCTCATAATGTGAAGAAACAGGAGTATCCTTCGTTTTCTAAGGAACATATACTCATTATGTGCGAGGAAGAAGGCAAAGAAAAAGGTAAAAGGCTTTAACATCTCTACCCTGTCATGTACAGTGTAGTGTAGTAAGCAAGGATATTACTCACTAAACTAACCTGAAACCATATCCTGACGACAATCATGTTTTTTTGTGCTTCTTTGCAGTATTTTTCCTACCTTGTGTGTATCTTCACAGTGGTGTGTGACTGCCCTGATTCTGTGGCGTTTTGCTCTCACGGAGCTCAGGAAAGGATTTGCTGCACTGTAACATGTAATATCTGCCCCTGTGTTGTACTGAGAGCTGAGTGCTTGTGTACTGTGTGTTCAGTGTGCTTACTCATGGGCAGCAGGGAGTAGGGCTGGTAATTCATCCAAAGTAAGGCTAAAACAGGCAAATGAAGCCTTTCTCCTCCTGTACATTTACTCCTAATGGGTAACCTAGTGTGAATATTAATGTTACCTTTGGATTTAGGCAATATCTCTGCCCAGAAAACTCTTAGCTTTAGTTTGAAAATGAATAAAAATTGCTCCACACAGGGTAGACCGAGGTCACCTCACTCCCTTTTCATGAATTTTATTTTTCCTTGCACACTGAAAATCTTATATAAGCAGAGATGCATTCCTTTACTGAATGTTAAATCAGGGGGAAAACTGAAGATGTCCATGGAATGATTATTGAATTTATCGGAGTGTCATCCGTCATGGTTTCAAGCTTGAGCCAGTTTGTACAGCAGATCACGAACCATCCAACTGAGACACACCAAACACGTCTTGTACCTTTTGCACCACAGAATATATTGGATATATTGTAAATAGATAATATAGATTTATTCTGAAAAAGTGGTTTGCCCAGTGTGTGTATCTACGTATGTATTTGTACAGAGAAGATCTAGTTTAAAAGAAAAAAAAGGATATTATAGTTATTATAGTTATTATTATTATTCACATTTAATATCAGGGGGAGGGTCCTAAATCCTATTGCTACGAGAGACGGGAAACAGGCAGCTTTTATAAAATTCACTCCAGTTACCATGGTAACACACACTGATTACAGATCTACATGCATCATTAAATTACCATGTCATATTATTACAGGATTACTAAGAGATGGCTGTGTCACCTGTTGAGGTGTGTAAAGGGCTATGCTGTATTGGAGAATACGTACAGTAAACCACAGGTCATACACACACTCACACACACACACATAGTTATGGTATACAAGTGGACACATACTCACACAGCCACACACACTGACGTACACAAACATGCACATAGCTGCCAAAGCAACCACAAATCCAGCTTAGATGTCACTTTAGAAACTGCTTGATTTCTCCAGTCAGCATCCCCACTATGTTTACGGTAAACTCTGACTGACTTGTTCTATACAGCATGATATTGTTTCAGTTTTTTTTTTGCTTTGCATTTTCATTTGCAGTACAAGGGAGGAGTTTGATTATATGTTTGTATCATTATTGTCAGGGCATGTTGGGTTGATTGATGTCATTTTCTCCACTCTCTCTACTTCCTCCCTCCTTTCTGCCCGACCCCCTTATCCCCAACCCCTGGCTTCTCTGTGGTTGTCATGGAGACGCACCAATCTGCATCCTCACTGTGGAGCGCTGTCATTAATCTTTGCACCCTCACAATATTTATAAAAGGAGATTTCTTAAAGATCAACATGTTTACTAATGGAATATTTCTAATTTTTTCTGTTTGAAGAGAATGAAAGAATAAAGTAGTTTTTACTCTCTGTCTCAGACTGTTGTGTCTATGATGATCCCCAGCTGCTTTTGATGTCAATAACGTCTTCACGTCTGCATCTGCAGCTCTGCCGGCCTCTCTAATGAATGAATCTGCACCAGGTGTGCGAGGAGCACAGTGAAATGAAGGAGCTTATGGGAAATCAGTCTATCTTGTTGCTCCTGTGTCCTCCCAGCACACTGGGTCTGAACTCATTCATTTGAAGATGAGGTCAGTCCCAAAGCAATATTGACTCTGACAGTACTTGTTGAATGTCTAGTTGTGTGTTGTAGTGAGTCTGCGTCATCAGCACGTGTATATTTAGAGTACATAATTTTCCACAAGAGTCTTATTCTGTCTAAAACTAAAAGACCAGCAAGATGGTAATTTGTAATTTCATATTGCGATATCTAAATGGCCACATTTGATGCAGGAGAGTCTCATGAGGAAGTTCTCAAGTGTTCAGTTAAGTATCGAGGCCAGAAAAAATACAAGTTGCTTTATTTTTGCAAATCACACTTGAGAAAGGCTGAACAATTCCTCGACACCGGCAGAATTACAAGGAGTTTGAAAAACAAAGCACCATTTTGGCTGAATAAATTATCTTACAAAAAACACAGATGATATCAGCATAATAAAGTAATTACAATACACAATGAAATCAATCTGTGCAAAGTACCTGTGGGCTTACAGATGCGATAGAGCTGTCACTGTCAGCTCACAATTTCTCCATTATCCCTGTCGTTTCTGAAATTATTTGTCCCCTTCTCCCTTGTGTTTCTCTCTCTCTCTCTCTCTCTCTTTGAAAACAAGCAGACAAGAGGTTCAATAAAGGGAGGACTGATCTGAGAAGTTGGTTGAAGTGGAGCAACAAAGTCTTGACTCTTGAAGTCTTTGAGCCGACTGACGGACCGTTCAGTTCAGACTGTGTTGTTCACCTCCTCTTTCTCCTCCTGCTTCCTCGTCCCTTGCATGGTGGAGGCGGTCCTGTCCAGGGTCTCTGCACAGGTCACGTCCCCAAAGTGTCTCACTGTCCCTCAGGTGCAGGTGTCCCTCAGTTTGTCTTTACATAGTGGTCTCTTCCCATTCCAGCTCAACATCACCTGGAGACCAGGAAAAACGTGTAGAGTGAGCACTGTGCTGTAGGGAAATGTGTGCCTCTTTGAGTGTGTGTTTGTACGTTGTTTACCTTCCATTGCGTCCAGGGAGTCCATCTTCTCCAGAGCAGAATAGCTGACAAACCAGATGGATTGGCTGTTGCCTTTGTTGTTTAGAAGTTCTAGCGTACTTTGATGCAGGAAGATGTACTGGGCCTGACAGCACATACAATGACAGCTTTATTAATCCCACACTGAGCAAATGTCCATATGAATTAATTTGTTAAGTCTTCCAATAATATTCCTTTTCAGGGTGTTCTGGTGGCCAATGCTGAACATGTAATTTGCAAAATCCCTGGTTTGGCTGCAGGTTTCTGTCAGCTCTGTACTGTCTAATGTCTAATAAAGGCAAAAATGGCCTTAAATAAAAACAACTATATTCTTTTTACAAACAGTGGAAGAAACATACGATTTTCTAATTGTGGATCTCTTAAATGTGATTATGACACCTATTAAAACAGATTTTTACAACTTACATAAAAAGTAAAAAAATATTAGCAGACTCAAATTTGGACTAAATTGTCACATGTAAAACATTTTGTTTTTTCATGCTGCAGCTGCCTCCATCATGGATTTACAGGATATGTGCCAAGATCATTCATTTAAAGAAAAAGATGCTTTTCACAGCTTTTGCACAAATCCAGGGGAAGTGGAGACAATTTTTGAAATTGACTACATCAAGCAGCCAGAGCCATCAGACTACAAGACTTTTTTTTTTAATACATCCGTCTATGAAATAATCTCTTTAGTGAAAACATCTGAAAGGATAGTTATAATTGTCATTCATTGTCATTTTATATAAGAAGCACTTCTACTAGAACTGATGGACATTTAGAATAACTTAACATTCGCCTCTGTTTTCACTTCCACAGAAGTAGTTTATATAATACGCTTGACTTATGGGCTTGTTTAAAGCTGTCTGCAAAGGCACTGTGCGTCAGTGTCTAAAATAACTGATCTGAATGATGTCCTCTTAAAGCTAAGGCTCTTTGTATATGACTAAACTGCTATACTAATAACTGGCACACTGAACACTGCTGTCTCAAAGAATCATGTCCTGAGTGGCTGCTTTCGGTTTGCCCAGCACTGTAGGCTCAAAGCTCACTGACTGCCAAAATGTGTATGCAAAGAAATGTACAGAACACTAAGAAATAATAATAAAAAAAAATACTGAGAAGAAGCACAGGCACTATGCAGGAGTTCCCTGCAGACACTGAGACACACACCAGTGGTCCACAAGTAATAACTGAGAGGGGATAATTTTAGGATAAGTTCACGCTGTTTCAAGACGGGGAATCCTGCTCAGCGAATAACTTTAATCCACTGCCAGATCATTTCCTTTGTCAAAAGCAGAAGTTTCCAAGTATTTCCTCATGGGGACAGGATCATAGCAGGACATGAAGTAAGAAGTAGGACAACTACATTGCCATTTGTCATGCCATTGCATATTTCTGTCTTTGATGATTGTTAAGTGCACTGGAACAACTTAAGACAAAATACAGTTTTTTTTGTCTTTTGTTTATTTACTCTAGCTTTTGGAATTTAAACAGAGAAATAAAATACACAGCTTTTTTTTTTTTTTTGTAATGTGAACTCACCAGATTCTGTACCATACACATCCTCTCGCTGCGCAGTTCGGCCACCAGGCCATAAATATCCACAAAGTCGTGATCTCTGACGTGCTGAATGAGGTGGTCTAAGGCAATAAACACACCTGTTCTTCCCACACCAGCACTGAGGAAAGAGCGAGAACAACACAACATTAAACTGCGTGATGCTCCACTGCACTTGTCTGTGACTGGTTAAGCACAGTATGAGGGTTACTGCAGTGACCAAACACAATAAAGTAATTAGTGCACTTTATGATCAAGGCCATAACTATAATTTATGCAGTATTAGTAAGTGACCACTCAGGTGCAACAGTACCTGCAGTGAATCACTATAGTGGTGTTGTCGTGCCTGTGAGCTCGGACAGCTTTGACAAACTTAATGAGAGTGCTGCAGGACTCTGGGACCCCGTGCTCTGGCCACGAGGTGTAGTTGAAGTGGCGAACCAGAATGTAGTGTCCGTGCTGCACAGAGGAAGTTAAACCAGAAATAAGACAGGGAGTAAAATGATATCATTATTTTATATCTTTATATATCATATCAGTACCTGAGTTTCCATTCATTCATCCATTCCTTCATTATTATGCAAATTCTATTGTTTACATCATGATGACTAAACTAATATGACGGTTACAACTGTATCTATGTGGTAATTACATTACATTTACATAGTAATTACATTAATATAAACCATTATGTAACAATATTTGCAGATAGCTTTGATACAATTTATTCAGCAAAAAATGTGGTGATATTTTCTATTATTATTACTGTTACTATTACTGTCAACAAATCCCACGACAAGACCAAAACAAATACTGAAATGATTGTAGAAACAAGTCTGTGTCCAAAACCTGATATATCTGAGCCATAGAGCTCCATTGTTGTTGAAAACCTATTACTCATCAGTGAGCAACACAGTTGCACTGGGTGACGTGTTCCTTCATTAAGACGAACAGTCAATCTCAAAACACAGTAACACTGCAGTAAACACACCAGCGCACCAGGTCTTTGAAAATAATCCCTAACAAGCACCCTGTTAACTTCAGTTTGAGTAGTTTGCTGTTAAAAACTACAGTGCCCAGCTGTTTTTAGAAAATTATTTAGAAAAACTATATATGTATTTAATAGATGCTATATTTGTTGTGACCGGTTTTTAGAATTTGTCTGTCTCCAGTAGGATCGGAACTGGGGCCCATCAGACAGGCCAGGGAATTGGTTTTGTTGGCAATAAGAAAAATATAGATAAAGAGCAGTTTTAACCTTTAAGTGGTATACATGGAACAAATCTACAGAAGAAAATGGACCCAGGTCAAAACTGTGTTTGTTTTACATTTTTCCGTTAGATATAAATTTGGAAAATTTTCCAGTAGTAAGAATGAAGTTGTTACTGCGTGTTTTTCTGGTGTTTTAGACTTTACAGTATGTACAGCATGTGTTGTGTGTACCATGTGTGTGTGTGTGAGAGAGAGAGAGAGAGAAAGAGAGGTTATTAGCTCAGTTACCTTTTCTACTTTCAGGGTTCTGACAGTCCAGTCAGGAAGGACTTCCTCTGACACTTTTGAGATGAGAATGTCACTAAACACTGACATTGGCTTGTTGTCCTCGGGCCAGTACTTGTGACAACGAATCTGAAATGTCACACACACACACAAACACACACATACATCAGATCTTCGTAGCAGATATAACCCTCCTGGTGAGATAGTTGTAATGGAGCCCAAATGGAGCCCAGCTCGTCCTCTGAAGGATGATACTAGTGGTGTTTCATAACAGTGTCAAATCTCTCATGACGCACTCTGCCTTTTTCATAACACTGCGTGAGCATGGCTATGGTGCGGGTTCCCGTTTCCCAGATCATCCTCCAGAAGTCAGCCACTGTGCCTGGCAGAGGTCCCTGGGTGGCTATGAACTCATTTGGACACAGGTAGCCCTAGAAACACAGAAAAACACACAGGCCTTCTATTACATCTGCCACATCTATCTATCCATCTATCTGAGAGAATGAGAAAGAGGCAGACATAGATCTAAAAACTGCTGTATTTGCTACAAATGTGTCTCACACCTGCAAAACTACTATCAAGTGGAAGCGACCCTCCAGGTTAACCACAGGCTTTTAGCTGCTGATAGCTGGTACTCACTGAGACGAAGCTGGCGTTGATGTAGTCAGAGCCTGCGGTGCCCGGTTCTGACAGCAGTTTCACTCGGTTGTTGTTGTCTGGACACAGTATAGTGAGAAGAGTGTGGCTGAAATGTGTGAAAGGCAACTGCGCAAGTGGTGGTCAAAGGCACATGCAGTTAACATTAGAGCTAAAACACAAGAGATACATTTGGTACATGTACCAATACGTGGTTCTCAGCCTGATCACTTACAAGGTTTGATGTTGGGGAAGCGGTTTTTGGATTTGTTCCAGGGCAGGTCAGCGTCTGTGGTGGCCAGATCCTGAAGCAGCTTTGGGAGCTCCTGTGGAGATAAAACGTTATACATCAACAAAACATCTTCACATAAACACACATATGTGGAGGTTAAAGTTCAGGGCAGGTATTTTCAAAACTGCTAAAAGTAAAATTTTGATTTCAAGATAAAAGTATGGTTAAAAATATATTTTTTAAAATCCAATTTCTTTTGACTTTGAAAATACTGTAACATTTATGAGAGCTTCAGCAGTCTCTAAGTTGGTTAAAAGTAACCTGCCGGGGAAAAACAATACTAAATCTGGCACTGATTTTGTTTGCAATCACTTTTCATGCATCTTGACTGTCTGCACTAAATTCCCCTTATCTCTTTTCTGTGTGATGTACCTTGTCTACCAACAGCAGACTTCCCTTCATGCTCCACTTTGGTTGATTTCCTCTTATTCCAACCCAATTTTTATATACAGGCAGAAGTTTGATAAACAAGAGTCCAGGTTGTAGACAGACACTTACAGCAAACTCTTCCTGGAACTTGGCATTGTCGTTGGCACACAGATCCTCTACGTGCTGCAGAAAAGACTTCTTGTTGACAGGTCTGACAGAGAGAGCAGGAGAGAAATACACTGAATGTGAGAAACAGGGAGATATATACAAAAAACTCTACAGCATTATGCTGTTTTCTGTAAACTTATTCTAGGTCACAACTTGTAATACTGAGCAGTACAGAACATGCAGCTCTATGCTGCAGCTACTTTGTGCACATTCACATTATTTATGCAGGATGACTTACTTGAGTGATTTTCTGTAGCTGAGAAGCCTGTTAAAAATAGACAGCAAAAATCAACCAAAATAAACAAATTAACTCAATGAGCCCACTCTGTGGTATTTCTGTCCATGACAGCTGAACTGATCCTGTTTGTGGAGAGTGGATGATATTGTATGTTTAAGAAAAAGACGTATTATTAGTTATTAATCAAATCCACTTCGATTTAACACTGACTTTGATGCTACGTTCTAAAGGAATATGTGAACATCAGTAAACTTGAATGAAGCATGTGGTTAATTCCTGTGTGGCTGGTGTTTCTTTGCATTACTGAAGAATTGTAGCTACGAAGATCCTCGGCTATCGATAAAGCTTACCATTTGTACCCTGCTAAGCCTTCCAAGCACTTTCGAGATAGTGAGTGGGTAAACAAATTAAAATGGTTTCAAGCAGAGGAGTGTCAGCTCAGCTCTGCAATCCCTGCCAGTGATGGAGAGGAAAGGGAGCAGGCTGTAGGCAAAACTTTGACGTCACTGATTCATTTGAACTGTCACCCTCCACCAAAGGTTTAATAAACAGCACAGATGGATGGTTTAAAGCCTTAATGGGTATCATAGTGATGACATGATGAGAGTGATGAATGAAAAGTGGCATAGAACATGCAAACAAACTATACACAGCAAAATGTGGCACACACACACGTCATGAGACCAACTTACTGGATGACATAAATCTCTTTCCGTCTAAAGAAGAAGGAAGAATACCTGGTGGGAGAAGAGTGCTCAGTGAGAGAAAAATAAAGCCAAGGCAGGTCAGTGCAGGTGTCTGCATGCAAAGAAATTTATAATATATGTGCCATTCGTTTGACAAGTGACAAAGAAAAGTCTGTTATTTTAACATAAAAAGTGGCATTTATACAGATCTCATAGTCAGAGTCGTGAAGAGATTCTGGTCACAAGGCAGAGAGACATACTGTCCTAATGATGCCAGTTTGAATTTAAATGACAGCTGGAGGAGCACAACATGCAACTGTCACAAACCCACACTCTTTGCTTTTAAATGCGTTTAACACTTAAATGAGTGGATGACAAATTATTCTCAATTATTCACATAAATAGTACTACTCATATTAAAAGCTTTTCCTTCCTGTAAGTTTCTCACCTCATCTTTGCCATCAGTGACCTTGATACACCAAAACCCGCACTAAATGTGACTTTGTTTCTCACCTGGTGCAAAACTGTAGCTTGAGAAGGAAAAGCAGCTTGCAGCACTTTGTGCCTGTGCACTTGTTTGTGTGAGAAAAGGATGAGAACAGGAGAGCTAGACGCTGAATTTGTAGGCGAGCATGGTTAGAAAGATACAGACAGGATGACTTGCCTGTGCTGCAGAGAACTGAAGGTAAACTATAAAGCCACAACGACGCTGTGTTGCGTCGTGGTGCTGCTGCTTCTATTTTCTGCACAAACTCTACGGTGCTAGAAGATTTAGTGCTGACAGGAGCCCACATCAAGTTGGCTGCAGCAAAGAGATTTTTGTCTTGTTGACTTAGATTTAAAACCTTGTCTAGAGGAGATAAATCAAGCCTGAAGTCATGTAGTGTGCAACCAGCCTCAGCTGCCAAGAATGTGTGTGTTGTATTAGGAAAAGTCACGCTTTCAGATTCAAACTAAACACACAGACTTACCGGTTGAGTTTCTCTTGTTTCAGCTCCAGATCTGCCACAGCGATCAGCTGATCCAGTTTACACTTAGTCTCTATGATCTCTGCCTCCCTTGGTGAATAAGTCCCACCCTCCTTCTTGCGCTGATGGATCCTGACATTTGATAATAAGCATGTCAATCAAACAGAGGTTAATAACAATACAGAAATAAAAATTAATATCCAGAATTAAAATCAATGAAATAGGGAAGGAAACAGATTTATTGCAAATTGTGCAATGCAAAGATGACTTATTACAGGAATTTACACATAGCATGTTTTTTTTTGTCTGTTAATACTAAATAGCAATCAATGCAGTGTTTCAGTAAATGTATGAATGTTGGCAAATGAATGAATGTCTGTTGCCATCTTACTTGACTGAGCCACAGATGATGATGATGAGTAACACAGCCAAGAAAAAGGAAAGCAGAACACCGAGAATGATCTGTTCTTCCCTGGTCAACAGCCCGTCCACTACAGAGAGAGGGAGAGGAGACAGAACGGACAACATCACACAAAAACAACAAACTAAACTGTACATGTTATGTTCTCACTTCTTGATGTACAGTTATACAGGAATGACTGTAAATACCCGCAGTTTTGACGTGGTCAGAGTACTCAGAGTCTGTGTATTGGCCTTTGATGTTAGTGGCTCTGAACTTGAACCTGGTAAATAGAAAATAACCAGCATTATCCAGTCCAGTCTCAGCATTATATCATTACAGCTACATGTATATACAACAGTTTTTAAATTGTTGTGTGGTTGAGTGTGTGTGTAGTGCACTCACACATAGACCGTGTTAGGCTTCAGAGGTCCATTGCAGAAACTGTCGGTGTTGTTCCCCAGCATACAGTCATCGTTGTCTCCGATCACGTACGTTCCTGCTGTAGTGTGATTGTGCCTCACCAGGGGACGGCCGTCTCCAGACACACTGCGATCACCTCTGACGTGTGCGTCCGTGCGTGATGCACCGTCCCCCAAAAAACATGGCGGGTTGGGGAACCCCTTGTCAGCCAGGTAAGGGGCAGGACGATCAAAAAATGCATTCTTCCAGTTGGTCAGGTTCTGGATGTCCTTCACTATGACAGGATGGAAAAAGAGAAAAAGAATCGCAGGGGAACTGAGTCAAATTTTGGCTGACGTTAAGCCCCTCAGCTTTTGCTTACATTTTGTCTTTTGTGAGCTTAGGACAGAGTGACGTACTGTAAAACGAGATTCTACTTGAGGCTTAAAGCACAAAAAAGACTGCTACCCAAATGTGTTCAACTAAAAGTGATGGCTGTCAATGTTTCTGAAGAGTCATACCCCCTGACTCGGCCACGATGACCTGAATTTTTGTGATTGGTCCATTGTCGTCACTATAGAAACAGGCAGGCATGCGGATGGTGATACTCCTGTGGGTTACCATGGCAACCCCTCCATGGCCCAGCACCGCCTGGGGTCTTTGGGTTGGCTTGGCCGGGGCTGGAACACACACACACATGTGAACATAGAAGAGCATGCACGCGCGCACACACGCACGCGCGCACACACACACACACACGCACGCACACACACACACACGCACACACACACACACGCGCACACACACACACACACACACACACACACACACACGCACACACACACACACACACACACTTGTGTGTAGAGGTACTTTTATTCTATTACAGTTACGTATTAAACATGGCAAACAGGCTGTTGCTCTCAATATTCAGATTAAAACTGCACCTCTACAGCATTAAAACAGACCAGACTGTATTGCTGAGTCACATTTACTGTGTCAGAACAACTGGATACTTATTGAGCAATAACACTGTGCAGTAGCAATTTTCTGTCTAGCATCTGTGCTGCACTGCTGAAACAAGATAGAGAGAAACACTGTGGAGCAGAGCGGAGCAGACGCAAAAAAGAGGGAGTTATACCTTTGATTCCTGTAGTTATCTGGACATGTGGACTGGGCGGGCTCCTCCCGGCGCCATTCCTTGCTGAAATCTACAAACAGGCAAACAGAGAGAAGGAAGACGGCAGAAAAGGGGACAGATGAAGTAAGGAGTTAAAGAAAAGAAGAACTATTTGAACAAGAGCAAGCTCCGCAAGGGTTGTGGAGTGCTGGCAGCGCTGATCTGCTGTTATAGCTCCAGGTGTGTGACCCGAGACACTGTGTCTAAATGTGCATGCCTGTGTGTGCAATATGTGTATCCTCCTTGCCTGTATAGTGTAGCTGTGTCCTCCTTTTAGGCCCTCTATGACAGCAGTCAGTGTGTTATGGTCTCTTTGGATGATATTAAGGCTGATGTTCTTGACCAGCTGGTCCTTTTCGTATATGTACACAAAGTAGGCAGTGATGTTTCCATTGGGCTCTTCTGGGGGCGTGAAGGTCACCTTCACACTGTTCACTTCCTCTGGGATAACTGATACGATCACATTCTTAGGAGGGTCTTTTGGCTCTGGGGACAGAGTAGAAACGACACTAAAGAAAAATAATAATACATATTTATTCACATCTGCAGGTTGGTAGGAGCTCTCATAGGTTTTCGGAGGCGTAAATTTCCACATACCCTCCTCCAGCGTTTGAAACTCAGTAGGTCCAATAGCTTTCCCGTCGCTGGCAGCCAGTTCCAGTGGACCAGTGAAGGCGGTGATAGTCACATAGTAACGAGTGAAAGCAGTCAAGTTAGTCACGACAACAGCCATCAACTCTCCTGGAGCCCGGACTCTTGAGATGTTCAAACCAGGACCATCGACCTGAAATAAGAGCACAGTTCATGGAAACATAAAACACTTTTTTTTTCATATTGTTTGCACTTTACATCATACAGAATGTGAACCTGCCTTTGAGCTGCTGCTGCTATTTTTAAACATAACACCATGTTGATCTGTTCTGAGACCATCTACCTGTGTTTTACACTTCACCGGTGACATGTTCATATTTGTGTGTGCGTCTGTACAAGACCTGCACAAGATACGATGTCGGCCCAGAGAGAACAGCTGGAGCACTCCATGCAATGCGAAGGCTGTTGGAGGTGGAGGTCACTTTTAGGTCACGGGGAGGGGCATCAGGGTCTGAAGGAGGAGATTAGAAAAACACAAAGTTCTTATGAAATTATATCTAACTAACATATACTGTATAGGAAAGATGACTAAAAAAAACAAGGGTTCTTTATAATTTTTAATTGAACATTTGAAAAAACAAAACCAAACAAAAATATTTTATCAGGGTTTGCTCCTAATTTTGCATTAAGATGTTATACTTGAACATCTTAAATCACCAGACCAGACCTTTTAAGACACTTAATCTTTCTTTAACTTATAATATGTAAAGACAGAAAATTCCTCCTTGATACTGAGACACAATATCATTGTGAGACTGATGCCACTCTACAATGCTGTAGGTCTATTTGTTAAGATCTTGAGGAGGAGCCGCCAGAGGCCGAGGACCTGACTAACTGCTCACCCTCCAGTGGCAAAACACAGAGGTCACATAATCACTGTGATGTTCTTACTTCCAGCGAGGGTACGCGCATAACTCCAGTGTGTATACTCTCCAACTCCAGCGTTGGTCACAGCAGCCACTTTGAAGCGGTAGTACCTGTATTTATTCAGGGATTGGAGTGTGATGCTGTTGTGGCTCTCTTCACCGCTATCTGAAGCATTTACTGACACTGTGACATTAGAGTCCACGCAGCCTGGGGTCAGTTGGTCCCCTGAGGCTGGCTGTGCAGTAGGTAGGATGTTTGCTTCACAAACAGTTGAAAGCAGCTGTGCTATGATGTGGTACTCTTTCAGCAGGCCTGGTATGGAGAGCGGCGGAGCCCACTGAAGAGTCACATTATTAGGTGTCACCTGAGAGATGGTGAGGAAGCGAGGGGCAGCTGGGACTGTTAGAAGAGACAAAGAGGATTTAATCAAGTATTCATTCTGTATTAAATTAGCGATTCATTGAAGCCAAAGGCAGTAGCTTCTACTAGATAATAGCAGTTCCTGGATGTACAAAAAAAAAATAAGACTGACTACCTGATTCAGAAAGAGTGGAAGCACTGCAGTTCATTCTGTCTCCAGGTCCTGCAGAGTTGACTGCAGCCACAGTGAGTGTGTACTCCATGTCTGGTGACAGCCCAGTCACTGTGTACTCTGATGAGGTAGCCTGGCGTGTGTAGGACTGCAAGTCCATCTCCACCAGAATCTCATAAAAAATGATCTGCCCATTAGGGTTGACTGGAAGATCCCAGGACAACTGAATTGAATCCCAGCTCACTCCTGAGCATGACAGGTTCCCCACAGCATCAGATACTGCAGACAGAGAGAGAGAGAGAGAGAGAGAGAGAGAGAGAGAGAGAGAGAGAGAGGAGTGAGACAGTGAGACAGTGACATTGTTATACTCGCATCAGCTTTCGTTAGCATTCTTCACTGTCTGCTGTAAAAGGAAAGAACTAAATTCAGTTTCAGTTACCTGTGGTTATTTCATCAAACAGGCTGAAAAAAAACAGCTACACATAGGGTCACAGTAGTGCCTGGTACATACAGTATCTTCTGTGACAACAAAACAAATAAGCTATATCTTAAACTATTACTACTAATCAAGTGTTCCTGAGAAGACACACGTTCAGCTTGTCCTTGTCCATGCTGCTGCTTCACAATGACATACAGATGAAAACAGCTCAGTAGTGTCTCCACTGCCTACATATACTGACAATATCTAATACTTCTTTCAATGAAAGCATTTTTTTAATTCATTTGCTGGTTCACTGGAAAGCACAGAGATCTATTGCACAGCCTTGGGAAGGCATGTGTGATTATCAGTGACTACACACATGCCCTTGACAATTGATTTAAGCTAATGCCACCAGGAGTGTGTTTCAGTTATTTAAAACAAGCAGAAAAATGTTTGGTTTTATCTCAAAAGCCCTAAAATTTGTGAACAGCTGAGGTTAAAGAGGTTGTCATATTACTGTGTATAGACTGATCGATGCATTTGAATTTTTTTTTTTGTCTTCTCAGTGTTAGACTTTGTTGGCCAGCTATTGATCAACTAATGCCATTAATGCCTGTGTCTTTCCACATTTTTTTCTCTTTTCATTTAAGTTCTTACGCTGCTAGGTTTTTAGTTTTTTGAATTTTTTGGATGTGATTAAATTGCTGTGTTTTTATGTTTGCAAACCTGTTTTCCTTGAAATATTCCTTGAGGCATGGATGAACTATTTAGAACTGAACAGACCATACAAAGCATAGTTTTAAGATGAATTTTAAACCCCAAAGTGTGAGCAGTAAGCTAGATCAGTGTTACGTTCTTAGTGTGTGGGCAGTGTGTGCTTTACCTGACTCGTTAGTCGTGAAGGTCACAGGGCTGCTGAACTGATTCCCATGGCCCACTCTGGTGTAACTGTAAACACTGATCTCATAAGAGCTATGAGGCCTGAAGCCTGATAGATATTCTGTGGTTGATGGACCAGAGGAATTCTACATTTGCGCGCACACACAAAACACATAAAAAAAATGACACATAAGAGATTAAATCATCCAATCCTGATTACTGAAGTGGAAAATGTCTTTTTGTATCAGCACACATATGTGCACATGTGTGTAAGTGTAATGTCACTGTTGAGAGGCATCTGGAGTGTAAAATTAGAGCTACCGTCAACTGGATTGTGTGTACTCTTACTGAGGGGGTCTCTGGAGTGTTTGCAAGTGTGTGTGCGTGTTGCTGTTATTGTGAAGTGGCTTTTGGTGTGTGAAATTAACGGTACCTGGTGTGTGACGGTCTGTGTGATGAGGTCTCGGATCCTGAAGCCATACTGTATCACCACACCGTTGGGCTCCAGAGGAGGCTCCCAGCTCAGCCACACGGAGACGGCCGTGTGGTTATATATAGTCAGGTTACGGGGAGGGGACATTGGGCCTGAAACACAAAGTTGGGCAGACAGAGAAGAAGATAGACAGTAGATACAGGATACTCACAGCTTAGAAAATAAATACCATCTCATCAAGGTGCTAGAGAAATGTTAAACCTGCTTCCAAACTCACCTCCTTCATCAGTGTGCAGCTGCAGCAGCAGATAAGGTCCCGAGCCTTTACGCGTTGCTGCTGTAATAGTGACGTTGTAAGCTGTGTATGGAAGTAGGTTAGTGATGATGAAGGAGGTGTTGGGAGTATGTGTTGTGTTGGAGCCCCCTGGGCCAAACAGCGTGAGGGTATACTCGGTTATTTCCCCGTTAGCCTCCAGAGGGCGCTGCCAGACCACAGCGATGGAGGATGACGACAGGTTCCTGGTGGACACCAGCAAAGGAACAGAACTAGGAACTGAAGAGAAACACACCCACACACGTCAGCATCACAACAAACATCTGAACCATACGCCATAAGTGAATGTTTGTGTAGATAAACTCACTGTCGTCATCCGTTCTTAGGTACATTGTGCTGGTATGGTTGTCGGCAGGGCCAGCACCAGTTGCCGGGGTAACGGTCAGCACATAAGGGAAATACTTCCTGAGTTTGGTGAATAGGAAGACATTGTCAGTGGTGGTATGCTTGATAGTCTTGTTGACAGCTGGAGTCCCTTGGTTGGATACATCTGGGGGGATGCCGGCCTCCTGTAAGGTTAGCAGGTAGTAAGGACGGCCGTTTGGCTCCAGGGGAGGGTCCCAGCTGACAATGATGGCCGTGGAGCTGAAGATCTGAGCTGTCAGGTTTCGGACTGAGTCACTTGGCACTGAAAAGGGAGTCAAGTAGAATTGTGTTACTATTATTTACTACCAGCAATAAGACTGGTTGAAAACTGTGAGCCTTACGCTACTGGGAGACAATATTAGGGCATCAATCAACCATACACACTCTGACACTGGAGGGAAAATGAACAGCGCAGCAGTCATCATCAGCTCAATCATCATCATCATCAACATCATTATCTGTCACAAGCACTGTCATAATCATTGGCAGCACTGTTGTAATTAACAAAATCAACAACAGCACATCAAGTAGAACAATAGCAACACAAAATACAAAGAGGTAAAACCAGTACAGTAGGCAGACATAGAAACAATATCCAATAAAACAACATCCAATTCAAAGACAAACAGAGGCACTTAGAGGAGGAAAACCCACACAACGGAAACCTTGGGACTGAAAGAGATTGAGCAGAAAATACTCATCCTGTTCATCGTCTAAGCCTCTCCAAAAACAATGTATGGTACACAGAGTAGAAATAAGGGGAGATGAAGGGGAAAAGGGGGGAGATAAAACTTGAGAGATCCGTGAGATGAATGAGTGGATGTAAGGGGCCGGGTGTGTGTGGGGGTCTGAGCCCAGGGGGAGTGAGCCCCCTGCTGGGCTTGGCTGTGCGGAAGAGACAAGGTGGCCTGGAGGTCCGGTGCTTGGCTGAGAGCGGAGCAGCTAGAGCACAGGCAAGAGATACAGAGTCAGTATGAGCAGGGATCATCAGTGATCAGACAGAGAATACTTCACAAGCAAAATGTTAACAAGAAAAAAAAAAAAATCACAACAATCAAATCTGTAACTGTCTGTGACAAAGTCTGCACCATTTTTCCCAAAATCACATAAAAACAAAGAGATCAGTTTTACAAACACTTCACTCCCTCCCTGAGGATATCAAAGTGCAACTAAATATTATATGCGTATATGTAAATTTGGATTTCCGTGGGAACAGTGCAATTATAGCGTGAGCGCAGAATCAACTTTCACACAGCATGTCAGGCTTTGTGTTTTTTCTCGGTGTCATCAAATCGTAAACGGTTCTACGCTCTCATTCTCTTCTTCTTTCTGGCTCTAATCCCTCACAACTTTCGTCATGCTTAGTAAAAGGAAACACAAACTGGCTGTCTTCAAGGCACAGTGTCACAGGCGGACAAAAATAGAACCAGTTTGCCAGACTGACAGTTATCTCCTTTCACTGACAGGCTGAAAGTTACATCTTCAATCGCAGAGTTTTATGTGATTTTTTTGTTTTGAAGTTGAAGAGTTATGGAAAAAGTGTGCAGACTTACCCACCAGAGACACTCTGAATCAGTGTATACAAGAATTGTTTGGGCTTAATGAGTTGTATTTTACATGTATGTCTATTCATTTGTGTGTGTGTGTGCGTGTGTGTGTGTGTGTCTGACTGACCGTCCTCTGGTAAGAACAGGGTAAGTGTCTCGCTCCGGACCCCTCCGTCTCCTTGCACAGTGTTAGAGGTCATCCACACGGTGTAGTTAGTTCCTCCAATCAGCCGAGTCAGAGTGTAGGAGAGGGGTGAATCTGGAGAGGCAGGGGCAGCTAAGTCTGAGACTGGAACCCTCTGTGGAGTGGAAAAGAGTGTCAGGGTTACTTCTTCACACTGGAATGGACATTTAAACAAGAGTGAAATTTGTGCTGTACATATAGATGAGTGACAAGCCAACACTAAGTGTCTTGGTAAAGTGTTGGTCCACCACAAACTGACAGGAAGCATCTGTATTTATTATGTTTCTACTTTCTTTTTAGTACTTACTCACTATACTATAGTATTTTTGGCCACTTGGGCAGCACCAGCTATCAACATAACATTAACATATGAATGTGTTAGTAATTACTAGTATTAGTTTGCTATTTACACATCCAGAAGACAGGGAACAGCATTAACATTCATTTGTCCACCTGATAAATGTGAGTTCAACAGATGCCCCGCTGCAGCTGGAAAAAAGGTTGATGAGAGCAGTGAGAGCGAACCAGTAAACTGAATCAGTGTGGCCACAAAACCAAAACAATGAGCTATACATCACAAAAATACTTTGTAGAGCTGAGGGGAACTGCCGAGTTGTGTGATAACTCTCTGTGGCTATGACACTTTTCGCATACATATATAAATATTGATTAGCACAGCTTTATTTTGTCACCTGTCTGTCTGTTCTACATGCAGTATATGTGTCTTACCTGCTTAGTCAGAGTGATGTTATCAGAGTAGTAAATGGTGTAATGTACAATGATCCCATTGGGTTCAGTGGGTGGGTGCCACAGCAAGGTGATAGAGGAGGCGGTCACATTTGCAACAGTCACATTCTGTGGAGCGTCAAACGGCTCTGAAAGCCAGACAGAAAGGATCTGTGTGAAAAATATCTTAAGACAATACATGGTAAATAAATATTTTAGATATGAGGATAGTAAAGTTAGCTGTCAAAAACTCTTTCATCCAGCACCTGCATCTCTGGTGGTAAAGCTGATGTAGATCAGCACTCCTCCATCTCCCAGTCTGGTCCAGCTGGAGACAGAGGCATTGTAGCGACTCTCTGAGTCCACATTAATAACCACTGATGTCTCTGTCACATTCTGCCACAGCTCAGTCGTTTCATTCCTAACAGAGAGAGCAACCATTTCTGTTGCATCATGTTCTGTTTTCTTTTTAAACTCCTTTTTTCTTCAATGTTGTATAGATTTACTAACTCACCAAACTCTGACAATGTAGTAGAGTATCTCTGAATTGGCTTCTAGTGGTGGTTGCCATGACAACTCTACCTCATAGTCTGACAACTTTCTGGAGCGGATGAACTGAGGAGGTGTGTCTGGGGCTGTGAAGTGGGAGAATGACTTTCCAGTAACATAAAAAGAGGAGTACGGCCTATCAATGAAGAAACTGAAAAGTTGAGGGATTATTTAAAAACACATTTGCACTGAGCAAATCAAAAACTCAGAAAGGCCCCCGGGAATGTGCCAGAGAGAGATAGAGTAATGCCCTGAAATTAAAATTGGTTAGTTGTAATGACTCTTTGTGCATCTCAGCTTTCAGCCCTGAGTGTCACGTGGGATCAAATACCTGTGATGTAACAACATTGGCATGTGCTGAAACAGAGAGATGGAGACTGAAGAGGAAAAGATGAGAGGGAAAGTCACATTTAATCAGATGCCCTTCAAACTTATCAGCCAGTCATCATGTAACCATACAGCCTGCTAGAAGTGAAAACAAACCCTGCCCTTTCCTCCTTCCCCCACCCATCCCTCTCACCATCCTCCAGTGTTGTGATGTTGAGTGGCTCGCTGCTGAAGTTTCCTGGCCCGACACGCGTGTGTGCCTGCACCATGACGCGGTATTGTGCATACTTCCGCAGATGCGTGATGTGGATGTAGTTGGACGGCGAGGTGAGGTTCAGGTAGTGACTGGAATTCCAAAGCTCCAGGCTGTAGTGGGTAATGAGCCCGTTAGGCAGCAGAGGAGGCTGCCAGGTCACATTCACCTCACTAGGACTGATCGACTCATAGGAGAGGCCATATGGAGGACTGCCTGGGACTGGAGAGAGAACATGAAGAAGCACCTTTACTAAAATCCTAATAGTTGATATTACTCCTAGAGGTTTTCATATGAGCGGATTCGAGTGAGTGGATGCATCCATCAACACACCATCCTCTCCAGACAGGAGGTATAAAGTGTCTGATGTTTGGTTGCCATGGCCGTAACGGGTGTATGCCCTAACAGACACATTGTAGTAGGAGAAGGGCTTCACGCTGATCAGAGTCACTCGGTTTGAGGAGGTGTTCATCACAGCAGAGTAGGATTCGTTCTCATACAGGACCTCGTAACGTTGGATCACCCCATTGGCTTTCTCTGGGGCAGACCAGACCAGTGTGACAGTGGAGGGGCTGGTGTCTACCACAGTGAGGTTCACAGGGGGGGAGTCAGGCTCTGATGTTGAGAGGGGCAAGAAAAATCCCAGAATTATCTTTCAGTCAATAAAATGTGAATCGAAGTGAACATGTTATCAACTGAAGTAAATTAACTAAAAATTAATTATTAATTAAATTAACTCAAAATAGTTCATATCACTTTGATGCAGCATGAGGTGCATGTCACACGCTGGGCAGCAATAACAATTCAACAATAATGCTAGATGATTTGTCATTCTTTCTGCAGACTGAGCATGCAGAAAGTTAAGGAATACAATTTGTAATTTCATTGCACTTATTAGCCATGCAAGCGATGTCATTCTGTCGGTTCACCACTGTGGATCTGAAATAACTACTAGATAGACTGCCATGAAATTTTGTACAGACATTCATGGTCCTCAGAGGATGATTTGTAATACTTAGGCTTTTAATAATAATGACTAAATACCTTTAAAAGTAATGATGTATGTTACGGCTGTACCTTGTTTTTAATGCTAAATAGCAAATGTTAGCATGCAAATATGCTACACTAAAGGTAACATGGTAAAAATGATACCTTCTTATCATTTACATATTTGTTTTGTCATTATGAGCATGTTAGCACACTGACACTAACATTTAGCTTAACGCACCACTATAGAGTCGTAGTCTTGTTAATACCTGACAGTTTTATTGGCATTTTATTTTCAAGATTCATTGTTTAACTTTTGTTCCTTCCATCTGTGACACGCATATAGTTTGTGTTAAGCACATACCATCCTCCAAGGTGTAAACAAAGATGTCATCTTCCTCAGAAAGAGAGCTCTCTCCCACAGCTGTAGATGCAGCCACACGTAGCTTATAACCAGTATACTTGTCCAGATCTGAGCATTGAATCAGAGAAGAAAGATACTTAGCGACAGACCTACAGTATATTATAGTGATCTGAATGACAGAAAAGATGAGCACTCCACCTGTTATCAATATGCTGGTAGTGTTAGTAACCCATTTCAGAGCCTGGTTACTGTGCAGTTTAAGGCCATAGACAGTGTAATGTGTGATCCGTCCATTGGGGTTGAGTGGTGGGACCCAGCTAACTAGTATGGAGGTGGAGCTGATGTTTTGATAGGACACTTCAAGCACTGAGCTAGGGACTAAAAGACACACAGTACAAGGCATTATTAGGGAGATTGAAACTCTTAAAGATTTCGCCCCTTTTAGAGCTTTTTTTTTTTTTTTTTTTTAAATAATTAATGATTATCGCAAGTGACATGTGAGCACCCACCCTGTTCCCTGGTCTTCTCAGAGATATCTGTGGCAGGGCCCTCTCCCACAGTGGTGGAAGCAGTCACCCTGAATGTGTACTCGGTGAAGGGATTCAGATCTGACACCAGGTAAGACAACTCCTCAGACATAACGTCCATCACCTCCTCTTTCACTGTTACACCTGTGGCACGTATGCAGACATAGATGGATACACATGACCACATGTACACACAGGATTTATAAGCACTGGCACAGATAAAAATGTTTGTATCCAGGGCTGCAGGAAGTTACGAGAAGCAGTGTTTCACAGTTAGTGCTCTCCCACCTGTAGTACCCGAAGCTGCTGCACTGCGTGTTGAAAAGTGTCCCGTAACTGATGCATCTCGTGTGGACAGACGGACCTGATTTGGGGTCAGGGCCAAGGGGGAAGAATCTGAGGTCATATCCCCAGCATGTGATTGCTTTGTCAGCCAGGGTGGAAGTGTAGCAGGTGGCACAGAGGTAAGAGAAAAAGCAATGGTTCCAGAGACTGAGGAGTCAGAAGGTTGAATATTTGTGATAGAAAAGTGTGAAGCAGAGGCATAACTGGTGCTGGGCTTCTCAGTGACCATGGGGTTATCAGTAGGTTGATCATCAGTGCTAATGATGTGGTCAGGGCTTCTAAGTCCAGAGTGTGTGAAGCTGGAAGCAGTCATACTGGTGGGCAGTGTGCGTTCAGAAAGAGTGGCCGTGAAAGTCGGTGGAGACGTGATCAGACTGAGCTCAGCAGTTCTCTTACGCCGACTTGGGCTGTTATGGACATCAGTGGGAAGTGTCTCATCTTCATATGCATCGGTTGAATTCTGAAGAAAAAAAATAAATAAAAAGATTAATGTGAAAGTATTTTTTCATTTTTCCTGGTTGGCTGCAGTGTAAAGCAGTGATCTTAATCACTTGGGCTCATCAGCCCTTAAAGCAATGTCGACCTGAATCAAGAGACAGACAGTTGCTTAGAGCTTGCATATGGAGATGTTATGTTTATATAAATGTGCCATAATCCCAATGATTGTAGAGATTTGTCAGCTTACACAGAGGCACGTGGAGGAAGTGGGTACAGCATCTGTACAGTACAGTCTAATGCAATTCATCCCACGACAGTGATGCAACAAATACTTCCTTTGTAAATCTTATCTTAATCTTATCTTAATCTTAAAATTCTCAGTTGTTCTTAACAAAAAAAGAGTTTAATCAATGTCTTTGTGAAGTGGATGTTTTAAAATTCAAAGATGTTTTCCTTTCATTGTAATGATTATACAGGTTTTCATTATAATATGTGCTTCACCATGACTGGGGTTTACAGGTTTTTATACAATAATTACACTGAAAAAGAATAATTACAGGTCCACAAGAGCACTATTCTTTAATATGCACAGTAAGTCTATGTAAGGATTGACAGTCTAATTTGATCCAACCTTTTCGACTGAACAGGCTCTGTTTTTCTACAACAGTAGTGAGCTGTGATTGGATAAGACTGACTTACCACTTCTGCAGTGAGGGTGATGTCCTGCAGCAGGGTGTCGGCTACCAGGACCTGCAGTCTGTACTGGGTGATCAGACCGTTAGGCTGAGCAGGGCTTTTCCAAGTCACACGGATCGAAACTGAATCCTCAGCTATTGCCATCAGGTTCTGCACTGCACTGGGCGCTACACACACAAACAGAAGCAGACAGAGACATAGAGGTGGAGAAAACACACTCAACACATTCACTGGACTTTATTGTCATCAATAATTCTTTGTGGATTTAAAGGGATTATGTCTAAAAACAAAAAGAAATGTGTTAGTACATTAGTTTATGAGTGTTCCCACCTTCAGCAGGTGTAAGTACGTCTTCCTGTGCTGCTGGGCCCACTTCTCCTGCTGCTTTGGCTCGGACGGCCACCGTGTACGTCGTGTAGGGGGTCAAACCAGTAAAAGCAAACCGCATGTCTCCTGTGCTGTTCTCATACAGATATCCTGGGGCAAAGAAGGAATAGAAAATTTTATGGATTTCTACCAATTTAGAGTCTGAGCTCGTTTATGTGTACATGTGTTCTTCTGAGAGAATAATTAATAACCTGTAGGTCCGTAAAGGTAGAGCATGTAGGTGAATTTCCCTGTGATAATGTTAGGAGAGTTCCAGGACACGGAGATCGATCGTGACGTCATGTTCAGTACAGAGAAGTTTTGTGGTGAGTCTTCTGGGGCTGCCATATACAAACACACAGAAATTATGTTTTTCACATATGCAGTATATAATGTATATGCTTATAGCCATCTAATACACAAATTAAATAAAAACTATAGCCTTGTTAGCTTCTTTTTCCACACCTGACTCTGGCATGCGGACCATAGTGGAGGCTATCTGTCCCTCTCCATCAGAGGTGAAGGCAGACACCTCGAATAGATAGGCAGTGTAAGGTCGCAGCTGATCAACTCCTACTGATATGGGCACACTCCAGGAAGCTGCAGGGGGCACGGCGGAGAGGGTGATGGGTGGAGATGAGGCTGTTATCTCCAATGGACTCGGAGTTGCACGAGACAGGATATCAGCTGCATCCTAGACACACAACATCATAGAGGACATACACAGAGGGTAAAATAAGAGAAAAAAATGTCATTTCTAGCCTTATGTTGCACAGATGGTCAGCCCTGAGCCTAGGTAGCATTTCTAATCCTGACATTAGAGGAGTACAGAAACAGAACAGTTTAAAGTAACAGTAGAAGACAGACAGAGGTGACAGTATAATGCAGGACTGTACGTTGCAGTGAGGCAGCGCTCCGGTCATGATGTCCTCCGCATTGACCTCCAGCACGCGGACCGTCTGCCCGGTACGAGCGTGTTTTGCCTTGACAGCAAACTTAGTGATGAGGCCGTTGATGCGATGTGGCAGGAACCAGGTAACCATGACAAAGGTGTGGTTTTGAGCAAACGCTGTCAGGTTGGTGACCAGACCAGGGGCTGCAGGACAGATACACACATATGAATGCACACACACACACACACACACACACATATACGTACATACAGGGAGGTCTCAGACTTTTGGACCCCACAGCACAATACCCTTATTTTAGATTTTGCAATCATTATGCAAGTATGTGCATGTGCAAGGGTACCCACGGGACTCAGCGGTCTTTATGTATAAAGATTTGCTGAACGCTCCTATTCCAGCTGGAGCTATGGCTGCTACCTACAGAGAGACAGAGAGAGGGAGAGAGAGTTGGTAGGTACTGCTTTTAATGATTAATTCATGCTCCTGTCAGCAGGGCAGTCATCAGATCCCAATTAGGTGCTAACATCAGGCAATGGTTACAACTGGAACGACACCTTGTTAGAGGTGATTCAGCGATCCCAGTAACACAGAACACACAACAGTAATACAACATTACACACCAGGTATGTTAACAGTATGTAAACAGATCACAACACAATCACCAAGAGCAGTGTGTGCGGTTGATTAGCCTCTGAAGTGCTGAAGTACAACATCTTTGATTTTTTTTTTTCAGCTATTCAAATAGAATTCATGAAAATTAATGAAAATTAACTGATAATGAAGTAAAAATGCAATTTAAGGCTTTATCAGGCTAACAGGGAATTAATCTACAGCGAATGGATAATAAAGTATACCACCCCAAAACTATCTCGTAACATCCATATCCAGCTTAAATTTATCATATTTTTTTTTATACTGGAGCACTATGAAAAATACTGGATACTTAATGAAAATGTCACTTAATCAAGAAAGAGGAAAAACAGCTTTATTTCCAGCTTCAGCACCAAGAATTTCCTATTCTATTTAATTATTTCATAATGCCACTAATTGAAGAAAATTGTCAGCTCACAGAGGAGCCTGTACAGCATAGGGAGCAAACGCAACATGTGTAAAGTGCAGTTTAATACAAACAGTAGGTACAATATAATATAATATATAATATAATATAATGAATAGCAATATAATGGAAAGCACAGCAGAAAAAATACCATAGAGATCAACCAATTCTACTCTTACCATTCCTCCTGATTGTGGAACGGTCTTGAAACAAGTTGATTTTTTTAGTACTTAGTACGTGTTTAATGAAGTACTCATCACCTTGCCAGATTTCTTTCTGTTCACTACAAATGAAGGACCCATTAATAGACAAAATTATGCGTATTTTTCTGCATCTGTACTTTTGACTGCTGAGGTATAAATATCATGAACAGAAAACAGAAAAGTCCGCAAGATATGTGGGGCAGAGGAAAAGTAGGAAGAAGTTGCTCATGAGCGCTCTGCGTGGTTTAGTGGGCCAACACACTCACAGGTGAAGTGTAGTAATGTGATACATGCACACACACACACACACACACACACACACACACACACACACACACACACACACACACACACACACACACACAAAAACAGTATGTGCTCGTATAATCACTATGTGTTGTCAGTCTCTCAGAGTCCATTTGTATGAAGGTCATTGCGGGTTAATGAATTCCGAAAACTAATAAGCATGATCACATTCAAGCTCAGTGACAACAGACAGTGGAAAGAGCCATGGCTGATCCATAGATCTGTTTACCTGATTAATAATGCAATCAGGATCAATTACCTGTATTCAGCTAGATCGAGAGAATAGTCTGGTCCTGTGGGATCTGTGTTAGCTAGCCACATCCACACGACAATACATTTTCAGGAATTTGTTTATTATGAGATAAACAAAGATTGTTCTATCTTCTAATTATGAATATTTAACTAAATATGTATACACACATATCCAAGACTAACATACATGGAAATTGGTCTTGTATGTAGTATCCCTTTAGGAAAGATTGTTCTATTTAATTATTCTACTACTTTTTAATTCAAATATTGAGCTCACCAAAGAAAATTCCTAGCTAAAATATAATCAAATTTTGAATCATGCAGCATGTATCCTACCTGAATCAGGTATGTAGACCCTGAGGTGAAGTCAGTGAGCAGAGTCTCTGGTATGTCCAGGTTCTTGGTCACCTGTGTGAAGGTGAGATCAGGGTAGGGACAAACTTCCTTGTACCTATAAGGGAAAACGAAATATATTTAAGATTATTGACTCCTAACTCACAACATATTTGTATAAAGAGGTTGGATCAGATTCAGGTGCAAAAGTACCAGTATGGAAAAGTAACTAAGAACATTTACTCAAGTACTTGGCAGACGTTCACTATACTACACCACAGTCATATTTTGCAGATTGATTTTTGTAAACCTGATGTGTTGTTGAGTGAAAGAAATCTGTATTATTAGGTCATGTTAGACTAGAAGTGAGTCTTTAAAGGGTTAATTTCTCATAAACAGTGAAAAAAGAGCTGCTAATACTGTCGGAAAGGTTCAACTTGTTTTCAATGCAAATCAACTTGTTTCAAAAAAACGTCTAAAACCATCTTTTTCATAAATCTAGTGCATTAAACTGCCTTATTCTTTCTTGTTTCAGGAAATACACACAGTTGGTTTAAATGAAAAATGTTTTTTATTTTTATACCCCTCTGTTTCTTGGGTGTATGTCGTAGCTTTCCCCTCTGATGCTGTCTGGCCTGTTGGCCTGTTTTGGCACTAAATTCATGATATTTAGCATTTCTTACTGGTTCAGACTCTCCTTTATGGTGGTTGAGTATGCAATTTTGCTGTTGGAGACAGTTACAATAATGCTACCTTGAATGGTGAATTTTAGATACACAACCCATGCAAATAGATCCTGAATCACAGTTTTTCAAGAAAACAACAAAGAACTACCTGATGACATATCCATCAATATTGTCGACATCAGGTGGCATGGTCCAGGACAGCAGAATACCATTGGAACCTACAGCCTCTCCTTCTAGGCTCAGAGGTGGACCAGGTACTGCAGGTGATGAGTGTGTGAAGAAGAGAAGATAGTATATACGTGCATTAACATAATTTCTTATTTTGAGTGTGTTCTCAGTGGGATCAAGCATATTTCACATGCATTATCCCATCTTTTCAGTCTGCTGTGTAAAATAACAACTTCTATATTTTAGATCTCAGCAGGACACTAGCAGAGTCAGAGCAGCAGAGTCATTTGAAGAATAGCATTGTTGTCTATGGTGGGGCTGATCCTTTTAGTGTGTGTGTGTGTGTGTGTGTGTGTGTGTGTGTGTGTGTGTGTGATTTTGTGGGGTTGCGTGAGTGTGTTTTGGGCCGAACTCTGATGAATAAGGCCTCACACAGCAGTGGCATTTCACTGACATTCACTGTCGACCCATTCATCCTGCCGTTCAAAAGCTCAGGCTTAAGTTACCTAAAAGGAATTAAACATGGAAGGGAGACTACACACACACACACACACACACGCACGCACGCACACACACGCACACTAGCACAGACACATCTACTGTACTAATTTCCTTTTCCTCAGTGTGTGTGTACTGGACGCGCTATACAGGGACTGAAGGAAACAGCAGAGGGCAGATGAGAACCTGACGCCACTTTAACACCCAAAAACAAAGCCCACGCAAACAACAACAAAAAAGTGTGTGTGTGTGTGTGTGTGTGCGTGTGTGTGTGCGTGTGTGTGCGCACATCTCACCACTCTCATTAGTATTAATCATGCGGCTGACTCCTGGGCTAATGTTGGAGGAGGAGGCTGCCGTGACCGTTACACTGTATTGTGTCCCTGGACTGACATTGACCACATCAGCCTGTGAAAACAGCAGAACACAGACACCTGGTCACAACACACGCACATACACACCCAAAATGCTCTCAGCCTTCTGTTTTAGTTTATGCTGTACCTTAATAAGACTCTCCACCACAACTCTATTTGAAGAGGAACCATCTGTTTAAGCTGTATGAAGGTGGGTGGTTGTGAATGGACGGCAGCTTGTTTCTGCTTGTGCCTGCACCTGTTTGCATCTTTATCCGTTTGTTTGCACTCTTTTTGCTTTTGTGTGTGTAGCAAACAACTCTTGCAACTATGACACCAGCATGTTGGTTGGCAATGAGTCACAGTAACACCTCCCAGTATAGTTTACTCCCAGAAATATGACCAGGCATTTTTTTTAAACATGCGTGTGCATGCCCTCAACTCAAACTGCATATGCTTATTACCATATCTATCTATCTGAAACGCAAGACTTGTCAGAGCTGTAAGCGTATGTTTCATCCTTGGTATATTTGAGTGTGTTAACATCTGTGTGCAAAAAGCAATATCAGATAATGAGTGTTGAATTCTTACCTGCGAATGTACCTGTCTCAGGCAGAGTGTGAGCAGGAGGGTGAGTGAGAAGGCCATGCTGGGTAGCGGAGTTAGCTTTAGTTTCGTCACAGCAGGTTAGAGGCCTCGCCAGGACAGCTGCATCCAGTGTTAGTGCACAAGCGTTAGCAGTGGTCTACAGGTAATCCACTGAGCTGAGCAGGAGTGACTCCAAGTCTAGAAGCTGGTTAGTGGCATGAGTAAAAGGTCAAAGGGTTAGTTGTCCAGGTGTTGATAATGACGGATCTTGAGGTATTCCAAACTTTTAGCGGTTAGCCAGGAAGGGCAGTGGGTCCTTTCGTTAGCACAAGGCTAACACTCTCCCTCTGGTCTCTCTCACTCTCTGGGGAGAGCTGCTTAAGCAAATGAATGATTCAGGGTTGAGCTCATGAGGCCAACTTAATAAATAATGAGATCTATTACTCAACTCTGTGCTCTGCGTGCTCTCTATGTGTGTGTGTGTGGCGGGTTGTGTGTAAGGTTACATTTTGTGGGGTATCTGCCACCTGCCAGCCGGAAAGAGCCAGCATGGGGCGGTACTTGGTTGGATGGGAGGAGAGAAAATGCATGTGTGGTTGTGTGCATGTAGTTTGTAAATTCAGTATCATCTCACCTATAGACGTAAAAGTTTACAATGCCACACCTCCTCCCTTGATAACACCGCATTGATGGTATTGAGGTGAACTATACTGTCTTGTTGTCCAAGTGGCCCCCAGAGTTTTTTAGGTTAAAAAAAGTATATGTACCTGAATGTATCCATCATGTCCAGGGTGCACTGTTACTTTTCCGTGGTTAGGTAGCAGGCTCACTTGGTAATGATCCACACACCCAACCGCCTGCTCCCAGCGTAGTGAGAATGCACGTGCAGACACATTCAGGACATGAACTCCTCGAACACGGGCTGGCACTCATGGAGGACAGGAAAGGGAGAAACAGAGTCACAGAGGTGGAGAAAGTCTCTGTAATTAGATGAAGAGGCGTTAAGGCCAGGTGATAACAATGGGGTGTTGACCGGTGCGTCACCTGTAATATTGTCTACCTGTGGTTACGGTCAGAAAGGCAGCGCTCCCCGCTGTCACTCCCCTCACTCTCTCAGCACTCACGTTGTAGCTACAGCCGTCCACCAGCCCTGTAACGATGGCAACCCGCTCCTCCTTGGGTATGGTGAGTGTGTTTGTGACCGAGGTGTTAGCGACAGTGACTCTGTAGAAGTCAAACTCTCCAAACGCAGTGTCCCAGCTCACAGAGACAGAGGAAGCGTTCACAGTGTCCAAATGGAGGGCACATAATCCTGCTGGACCTGGAAAACGATGATTGCAATTTTACAACTACAGTGTTTATAATTTAGGCCACAATTTAATTATTTTCCTTGTTCTGATTGAGGAAGATCCTTATTGATAAGTATTTAAATAATGTGCATTTAGGCTTGTGTGTCTTTGTGTTTCTGCGTCTCTTACGAGTGCTGAGCTCTCTGTGGACCACCTGACTGGTGTCTGAGCCCAACACACTCTGAATGTTGACACCGTAGTCTGACCCTGGGATCAAATCCCTGACCTCGTAACTCGTGCCCAGGACAAGCACCTCAATCCATGACTTCCTGTCCACGGACAGCAGGCCAAAAACAAGCTGAGAAAAACAAAACGGAACACTCAATACTTACTTGGGCTTTTAAAAATAAATTTTACTGATTGTGAATTTTTTTGGTTAACCAACCCTGTAATAATACCAATGTCTCTCTTTTCTTTATGTTAATGTGGGTTTTACATTGTGCATGCATGTAATGTGCTTGGTCATTCCTCCTGGCCATGGCTTTACAGAGGTCATACATCTTTAAAGAGTTGGTAACTGTATCTGCAGTGTGCCGACAACAGTTGCTAAGTAACCAACAGGTGAGCACGAAACCTGACGCAAGTGGCCTCCTTCATCCTTGGAAAAATAGTAACATTGTGTGTAATGTGTGTATAAGACAGATGACTGAAATGTCGGAAAGTTACTGTGGTGTAAAAACCAGTAGTGCCTGTCTCTGCCTCTGGACAGATACATTGGTATACATGTCTTACCTTGTACTTCTCCACCTGTCCTGGTGGTGGTCTCCAGGTGACAAACACAGATGTCACAGCCTGCTCTGAAAAAGCCACTTCCTGTGGTACCTCTGGGACTGGAGACAAGATTCTGGTTAGCATGTGACACCATATACTGACACAATCATTGTCATCAGTCACTCTGGGTAATACACAAGTTAATACAGGTGTAGGTGAATTCTTTACATACTTTATTATTATACTTTTTGAGCAGAGAAACTGGAGGCAAAGAAGTACTGAGATCCAAACATCATTTTGTGCATTTATTTGAATGTTAATAATGTCTTTGGTAAACATTTTATGTTTGCAAAATTAAAGTCTGTCTATCTATCTATCTATCTATCTATCTATCTATCTATCTATCTATCTATCTATCTATCTGCTCTCTTCTGATGAATACTCCTTTTCTGCTACATTAATTTTTTAATCAAAATCATTTTCTTTCTTTCTCTCTCCCACACACATGCAAATGTGGGCAAACTCACAACCAATACTTGGTGCCACAATAGGTACAGCAAATATCTTAAACTTACTAGTATGGAGGATCATAGTAGCAGGTTTGCTCTTCCTTTCCCCACTGGTGCAAATCACATCAATTCTATATTGGCTTCCAGGGGCGAGGCCTTCAAAGTTGTAAGATCTATGAACACACACAGCTCTAGCAGTCAGTGCTTTTTAGTACTAAGTTTGAAAAATCCATGTTGTAACCAGTTGCTGTCATAAAAGAAAGTCTGGATCAGCGGATTGGAATTCCAATCTCATAAAACTGTAATAATTTGTGTGCTGGCTGACCTAGAGTGAGACTGACCTGGGCTCCTGATGAGAAATGATCAGCTCTTGATTGGATGTTCCGTTTTTGATTGACAGCATGAGTGCGCTCAACACTCCCTGGACCAAACTCCAACTAATGCATATGGATGATGTGGTTTTATTGATGAGAGACACCTCAACTGGGCTGGGAGCTGGCACATAAAGAAAACAATGCACGTAGTCAGTTAGTAGAAAAGAAAGACTTAGCAGTGTGCGCACATGTGTGTGCGTGCATGTTTACCTGCAGTGATGTTGATGGTGACGGGCGAACTGTCTGTGAAGGACTCTCTCTCTGTTCGCACTGCAAAGCTGTAGAGCCTGCCTGGAGTCAGACTAGAAAACACTGCATTCTGACTGAAGACCTTCTGCACCTGTAGCAATAAGAGCTTTATTATAATTCTCACAGCATTGGCTAGAGGAGAAGTTACACTCATACATACATTATTTCTTTTAACATAGAAACATGCTAACTACTGGTCACCGTGAGAATGCACTTTATTAGTAATTGCAGTTGGTGAAAAAACTTCTAACTTAATTCTTGATCCAGACTCAGATACAAACTTCCACAAAGCTGCCTCCTAAACCTAAAACTACAGAGGAAAACATTCACATTATTTTAAGATTTTTTTGTTTGTTTGTTTACCATTCGTGAATGGTCACAGTTGAGGCAGATGACCTCGTAGCTGTGAGCCCGTCCCTGTGCTGGATCCCAAAGCAGCTCTATGGATGAATCTGTCACCACGCCCTCCCTCACTCTGCTGGGAGGCACCAGACCTAAAATCACAAACCACATCCCACAACCCATAATGTAATTTTCTCTAACATACTAAAAATAACAATTACCTTTTGGTAATTGGTATTTCAAAATTCCTAATTAACCACAAAAAAGAAAAGAAGAAAATCATTACAGTAATCATAAAATGAAGTATTTTACAAAAAAAAGTTAGAATAAATTATTATAATACAACAGTATAAATGAAAACACAGAAAATTCTTTATACATTTGTTTTAAGAACATATTCAAAGACGACATTCATTCTGTAAATCTAGGATTTTATTCTAATTTAGGAACATAGGAAGAAAAAACACCCAAACACATCAATGTGTTATACCTTGATTTTGGATCGGACGGATCTATCTGCTCTCACATCATATCAGGTACAATATCTATCAAACAACATAATATCTGTCTTAACTTGAAACTTGGCCTAAATGTTGTTGATATTTACATATATGCTGGAAGTGATAGGTGTATGTCCCGGTGTGAGATTGGTAATGGACCCACTATGTTGTGAATTCACTGAAGTGAATCTCAATCTTAATGTTTATGCTGACACCTCTAAGTTAGAGGCAATACGAATGTGTTTGTTGTGTCTTCAGTGTTCTGACTAACATTTGCATTTGTATGTACTAGTATTAACAGAGATAACTCACTTGTTTTTATGGGGCGGGTATAGTAAGGTGGTCCCGTCTGCTCCCGGCTGGTGCTGTGAACCCTGAGCTGGTACTCTGATCCTGGACGGAGGTTGCTAAGCGTTACAAGATGAACACCAGCAGGGAGGGAGTACCAGTCGCATGAATATCCACATAATCCCTCACACGCAGTGTCACAAACTCCTGGACATACACACACTTTCACCCCATCAATCAGACCCAGCTGTGGATGCTGAATGTACAGCTGTGCGGAGTTTGCGCTGACTGAAAGAGGGACTGCTACCTGAACTGGTTTTGGATCTGCACATACAAAGAGACAAAGATAGTTTTACAAAACGGTTAGTGTGGTTAAAAGTGATGTCCACATTGTCAAAGGCAGAATTTCTGTTCCTCTTACCTGTGGTGTGTATGACGCTGGTCATGTGGCTCCTGTCATTATCCTTCTTCAGTGCAACCACTCCTACTTCATAAGTCTGACCTGGGGTAAATGTGCCCAAGTCAATGCACATAGACTGATTTATCCAGAGTGCACCAGGACTGGATTGGTTTATCCACAGTGAAGAGGCACTGGGGTGACTGAGTGGGTGGGCTGTGATGTGATAACCATCTGGTGGGTCATCAGGTGGACTGGTCCAGCAGACGGTCAGATTTCCCCTCGTGCTGAACACCACCAGATCACTAGGGGCCCTCACCGCTAAGAGGCACAACAGCAGAATGTTACTGAGTTGTCAGCTAATGTGGGTCAGTTAAGTGACCACAGCAACTCATGCATAATTATGAGAATGTGATTTTAGTTCGGACAATTACTGAACTCATAGTGTAAATTTTAAAACATCTCCAACTTATCTGCATTGGTTGGCAGGTCAGCAAATCAGCAAATTTCTATTCATGAAGTATTCACACATCGACGCAAGTCTAGTGATGTGTAAGTTCTTAACGCAGGACATCCTCAGTGTTTATCCGTGTTTGACACTACGTGCTGTGAATTCCCAGAACTAAAAACATCTCTAGATCAGATCAACAGCGAAATTGCTTCAACCTCACAACAAAAAAAGAAGCCAGTTTGACTACCTTGATTACACGGATCACTTAGATGATCCACAGTGGCAATCACAGAGAATTAGTGTCACAGCCTGCTATGCCTCTGTCTAACTCTCCACTTTGCCACACCTCCTAATCAGCCTCACTGTCCTCACCTGTTGCCCCCAGCTGCACTATCTCCAATCAGGCCAGTATATATGCATCCCGTCCCTGACCATCCTGCCTCGTCTCGGTAAACGCTTCAGCCTTCTGTCCCCGACCACGAGTTCTGCCTGTTCCTTCCTGGTTCGTCTATCCCGCTGACTGGTCACCTGGTTCCGATCCTCCTGCACCCTCGACTACGTCTCCAGCCTGCTCCCTAACGGTACCGTTGCCTTCCTACCAACTCGTCCCTGTGTGTGTGAGCCTCTCCAACCCACTCCACTCACCTACTCCGCAACACGGCATCCCCGGCCCCGGCCCCGTCGCCGGCGCCCCGTCCCCGTCGCCCCGTCCCCGTCGCCCCGTCGCCGGCGCCCCGTCGCCGGCCCTCTATCCCCAAAACCCACCTGTGTGCAATATCTCTACTGGTTCATTAATAAAAGTCATTACCAAATTTTCACCTGTTTGGTTGAGCTGCAATTGGGTCCTACCACACCCCGTTACAGTACAATCTGGCCAGAAATGGACCCAGCGTCCAATCCCACACTCCTGATACGCCTCGAGAGAATTGTGGGCGTTCTCCGGCAGCACGAGGCCATGATGTCCGCTGCCGCCTCGGAAGCTAGACAGGTGGCTGAGGCTAATGGACAGGCGCTAGCAGCGTTAGTAGGGCAAATGCAGCAACTGAGGACCTTCCTGATTCAGCCCGCTGCTCCCATGCCCTCACCACCTCAAACGGCACCAGAACCAGCTACAGCTTCCCCTTCGCCCAGAGATGGGTGGGAATTCCGGAGCGCTATGATAGAGACCCAGAGACTTGTGGGCCTTTCCTAACAAACTGTTCCTTGCTGGTCTCCCCTCAGCCCCGCATCTTCGCCACTGAGGCGGCGACGGTCGCCTTCACTATCAATCACCTGACGGGCAGGGCTCGTCTGTGGGGCACTGCTGAGTGGGAGAGACAATCTCCAGCCTGCACTTCTTTCCAGTTGTTCGCCGGAGAGCTGCGCAAAGTGTTCGGCCTGGGGGCTTTCAGCTCAGACTGCAGGGGGGTTTATGGGTATGCAGCCAGGAGACCCGACAGTGGCCGACTTTTCTATCGACTTCCGTACCAAGTCCAGCCAGAGCAACTGGAATTCTGCCGCCCTCTGTGACGCCTTCCTCCACGGTCTGGCTGACTACATTAAGGACGGGCTGGTTTCCCATGACATTCCTTCCACATTGGACGGGATGATCGAGCTGGCTATACGGATCGATCTCCGTATCCAGGCCCGCAGACGAGAGAAGCGGCAGAGGGGCCCTCTTCCCCGCCGTCTGTCCGTTCCCGAGGGGGCTCCACCAGTCCCTCATCCTCACCAGGGCAACAGAAGGGGGAGTCCGAGCCAATGCAGCTGGGCCGCACCTCTCTCACCCCAGAGGAGCGGGAACGTCGTTGCCAATCTAACCTGTGCATGTACAGCGGGCAGGCAGGTCACTTTGTCTCCAAGTGCCCAGTGAACAGGGGGGATACTGGTGAGCCCAACAACCGTCAAACCTCCCCGCAACCAAAGACCGCTGCTCCAAGCCCAGGCATCCTTCCTGATGGCCACCCTAATAGACTCTGGGGCGGACGCCTGTATCATTGACGAGGGAACCAGCCTCTGGAGCTGGGGCTCGAGCAGGTTCCTCTACTTCACCCGGTTCCCGCTCGGGCCCTTGACGGCCACCATTTGGGCACAGTCACGCACCAGACCGTCCAGATTCCCATGATCCTGTCCGGCAACCACCATGAGACCGTTCAGTTTCACATTCTGGACTCTCCTCGCCTGCCTGGGTCATCCTTGGCTCCCAACATTGACTGGGAGACGGGAACCATATGAGAGTGGGGCACCTCCTGTCCTGCCTGAAGCAAGCTTCCCGCCGCTTTACACTCCCAGCTCCAGGGCCCCGCCTGGCATCTGCGGGGTGCCCCCGGAATACCACGACTTCCGCCAGGTGTTCAGCAAAGCCAAGGCGACTCCGCCATCGATCTCCTGCCTGGCACATCACCACCCAATGGTCGTCTGTACTCCCTGTCTGCCCCTGAAAGGAAGGCCACGGAGACCTACATAAATGAATCCCTGGCTGCAGGCATCATCCGCCCGTCTTCATCTCCAGCCGGGGCGGGCTACTTTTTTTGTCGAGAAAAAAGACTCGAATCGACTGCCGGGGTTTGAACGACATCACCATAAAGAACCGGTACCCTCTGCCTCTTATCTCGTCAGCTTTTGAACTGCTTCAGGGGTCCATCATTTTCGTAACGCCTACCATCTTGTCTGCATAAATGAGGGGGGTGAGTGGAAGACAGCGTTTAACACCCCACAGGGCATTACGAATATCCTGCCGTTTTCCAAGCCCTGGTGAATGACGTGCTTAGGGACATGCTGAACCGCTTGGTCTTCGTCTACCTGGATGAGGGGAGCGAGGAAGCAGGAACAGAGGGAGATGGAGAGAACGGCAGCAGACCGACACGCGACGCCAGTAATCGCCACCGACAGAAGCCACGGCAACCAGACGAGTGATAAGACGAGGGCCTGACGGTGAAAATGGGCAGAGTGTGACTCTGCGCTGCCGTGTGAGTAGCGGTTCCTGGCTGCAAGAGTGATTCATTTGACTCTGCGTGCGTGTGTTTAAAAGTGCAGTGACTGCTGCCTTACCTCCCCACAGCCACGGAAGCAGTGAGGAGGAGCAGCCGTAGCCGGAGGGGTGCGACGCCGGTAGCTGCCAGTGGACGGAGAAGCTGAGTGACTACAGGAGGGATCCACGCTTCTCTACGGACAGCCGGAGCCGCTCTCCTGCCGGCGTCCGGCACCTGTGCTGCGGCCCCCTTCCCCCACAGATAAGACTCTGGAACTGATTTATTGGACTCTCACCCCCTTAGTTTTAGCTAGTCCCTATTTTAGCTCATTTCATTAGCCCTTAGTTTTACCCTTTTTATTGACTTTACCCTGTGATTTTACTCCCGATCTTATTCGTTGAATAAATATCAGTATAGATGCTCTTTCAGTTTCTGTCTGCTTCTTAGTTTTAGTAACTGCTCTCTTGCCTGGTTTTAAATTACATTGTTACTTTTAGTATATTTTTATTCAACCACAAAGCACCCCCCCCCCCCCCCCCAGACCGACCATAAGAACTTGGAATATGTCCAAACAGCCAAGAGAATGAACTCCCGCCAGGCCCGCTGATCCTTATTCTTCACTCGGTTCAACTTCACCCTCTCCTACAGTCCAGGGTCCTGCAACGTCAACGCCCTGTCCCGGCAGTTCCAGAAGGGGGAGGATTCTACTGAGGGGTCTGCCACCATTCTTCCTTCTCCCTGTGTCATCGCCACCCTGACCTGGGATATAGAGGAGAGAGTGAGACCTGTCACCGAGGATCAACCTGGTCCTAGCGCCTGCCTCTCTAATCGCCTGTACGTCCCGCAACCCCTGAGGTCGGAGAACACCCGCGATTTTGTCAAGGCTATCTGCAACCAGCCTAAACCCTCCCATCAGGCTCTGGCGGGACTCCTTCAGCCTCTCCCAGTCCCACATCGTCCATGGTCACACGTCTCCTTGGACTTTGTAACGGGTCTTCCTCCTTCCAACGGCAACACGGTCATCCTCACTGTGGTCGGCCGTTTCAACAAAATGGCCCACTTTGTGCCACTGCCCAAGCTGCCGTCAGCCTAAGAGACTTTGCATGGTCTCCCTGTCGATGTGGTGTCCGACCACATCCGACCAAATTCTCCTCGGTTTTTTGGAAGGAGTTTTGCAGCCCGATGGGAGCCACTGCCAGTCTCTCCTCCGGGTTCCATCCCCAGTCTAACAGGCAGACTGAGTGGAAGAACCAGGAGATGGAGACGGCCCTTCGCTGCATGGTCTCCCCGAATCCGTCCTCCTGGTCGCAGCAGCTCCTTTGGGTGGAGTACGCCCACAACTCCCTCACCAGCTCCGCCACGGGCCTCTCGCCCTTCCAGGGTACCTACGGCTACCAGCCCCCGCTCTTCCCGGCCTTGGAGAAGGAGGTTTCCTGTCCGTCTGTCCAAGCCTTCGTCCGCCGCTGTCGCCGAACCTTGGTCAAAGCACCACTGCCCTCCAGCTAGTGTAGTCGCTACACTGCCTCGGCCAACCGGCGACTATCTCCTGCTCCAGTCTACCAGGTCGGCCAGAAGGTGCGGCTCTCCACCCGGGACGTAACCCTCCGGGTGGAATCAAAGAAACTGGCTCCCAGGTTCATCGGCCCATTCCCCATCCAGAGGGTAATAAGTCCAACAGCGGTGAGACTGAGGCTTCCCCGCGCCATGCGTGTCCATCCCACCTTCCACGTGTGCAAAGTGAAGCCGGTCCCCGAAAGCCCTCTGTCGCCGGCGGCCCCGCCTCCTCCTCGCCTCATCGATGGGGGACCAGTTTTTTTCGGTTCTGCGCCTCGTCCGTTTCCGTCGTCGTGGAAGGGGGCTCCAGTAACTGGTCGATTGGGAGGGCTAAGGTCCGGAGAAGAGGTCCTGGATTCCTGCTCGCCACATCGTCGACCCTGACCTCATCACCGACTTCCACCGTGATCACCCTGAACAGCCCTCCAACACCGCCGCACCACCTAGGGGTCCCCGTCCGGTCCACGCCTCCTCCCTGTCTGTTCCCATTGAAGTGGATCTCGCTGCAGAGGGGCCATCCTACAACGAGCCTTGCTCTGATTTTCAAACTAGACCTTTCTAGTTTGTCCCAGAAATTCAAATCAAATCATATAAATTGTACATGCTGGCTCCCTGTCACAGTGGGAGCCCCGAATAGAACAGAGCGATAATTAATGTCATTAGTAACACCTGTGCTTTTCCTGCTATGAGATGTCAAAATGTCGGCTGCTACACGCTTACCAGTTTGTACAGTCACGGGCGCCTGTCCACAGCTCTCTATCCCATGCTGGGTGACTGTGTAAACTTCAACCATGTATTTCCTGTAAGGCTCCAGCCCTCCAATCAAAGCAGTGTATGACTGCTCTCCTGCAGTCTGAGATGACCAGGAGATGTTGGTCATTCTAACAATCTTCTCTTTTCTTGAAGATATGTCCATGTAGCGAACAACAAATGTCCATCCAGCCACATACTGTGCATCTGGTAGCATCCAGTGAACACTAATCTGACTGACTGTAATGGGACCAACAGTGATGTTTTGAGGAGGAAGCGGCCCTGTAAGAAAGAACATACACATTTGAAATTACATTTGTGAGCAAAAGATACTGCCTTTTGTTTTGCTCTGTTTGTGTAACATATGTGTGTAACGGGTTGTCAACAGACTCACTAGTGTATGCAGTCT